TACATCACATGAAGAAGGCTGGAATGTACAACGGCTGAAACGCCGTGAAGACAACAGTACGAACAATGTAAATAATAACGTAAGGGTTATTAAAGATGCTTGCTTTTTTCCTTTCGTTAAATAGTAGGAAAGACAGGGTTTTTCAACTCTGAATACCTAAACCCGGGTAGGTGTAACTCGTTAACGTGAGATCATGTGGCCGGCTAAGGAAAGAAAACACAGAAAACCAGCCCTTCCTCAACGTGCAGAGGTCGGGCGTGGGGTTAATCACCCCCACCTCGTGGAACAATTTGATTACAGAAACCTCATCAAAATCTCTTAGTGTGTCATAATGCACTCCACAGATAGCTTTTTCGCTTTACACCATTTTGGATATGGAAAGAAACCATGAAACTAATGTCAATCTTTCGTAAAAGCGGAATGGCAGAAAGCGAACACCCCCAAAATATTTGTCTACTCGAATGTAAACAATAGGGACTGATACAACACTTTTGAGGATAAATATTTGCAGATGGCATTGTGTAATTGTTATCATGCTAGGTTAATTACTACTGAGTAGTGAGTTCGATCCTTACCAGGTGCTCCTAACTTTCGGGCTTGTGCTATACCTAAGTTTCGCTTAGTAAATCATGGGCCCTTCAGCGTGGTGGAATGGTTAGCAAACTCACCTTGATTGATCAATTACAATTGAATAATGAGTCCGATACTCACAGAGTGCTCTATACATTCGGCAATGTTTCACATCTGGACTTAGGAGGCACATAGTGGCACCAAGGAGAGTTGTAGGGCATGCAGATCCAATCAGTCCAATCAATTATGCAGTTTATCTGTCATATCGAGTGTAACAGCAAAATTGTACAAATCGTGTAGCATCATACGATAATTGTTCACCCCACAAAATGTTTAATATCTAAAAAACAAAACACACACACACACACACACACACACACACACACACACACACACACACACAACTAATTGAGTCTATTTATATCCAGGTTTTCAGGTAAGACGTTTATCCATCTTGACACCATTTATCGGTAAGAATCAGTGCAAAACCCTTTGAGTTATTCAGCTAGAAAGAGAACAGGTTAAAATTGTTTTGTGTCAGCCCCACAATGTCTTTATGAACTGAGCAATGGTGAGATGAAAAATCATTCAGGCTTTCAGTAATGGTACCAAGATTCATACTCAGGCTTCCATCTACAAAGTTCATTCAAGAGCCATCAAGAGAACAGTGAATAAGTTTAAAAAAGAGGGAACAGTAGAGAGGAAAACTGGATCAGGAGGTCAAACAAGAAGACGGATCATCATTTCAACTAAGAGCTAAAGAGATCAATTAAAAAAGATTCATCTCAAACCCTAAGACGTTTGGGAGTTTCAGCTATAACAGCCCAGTGAAAAAAAGAATTAAAAATAGAATCGTACGTGAAACGTGTGAGACACCTTGTTACTTCAGGACAGAAAGTTAGAAGGTTAGAGAGGGCGAAGATCATCTTGAATAAGTTGGAAATGATCCTGGAATAATATATATCTATAATAGATATGATTAATTAATGATGAACATATTATTTTCGTTTATGATCTATTTCATCACGTTATTTCTGTTAAGCTAAGGGAGTAATTATACATCCTTTATGGTTCAAAGTGGAGTTCAATAGTGTTATAAAAAACCTCGAAGAATTCCAGTAAGATATCTTTAATCATTTCTAAGATACAACGATTCAGAACTTAATTTAACAACTGAACAATTTTACATGATTTGGACAATTTTGCTGTTACACCCGGTATATATGCATGGTATCTATAAAAGGGTACGATGGCGTAATGGATAGCGGCTCGGATTGAGGAATCGTATGAGCCGAGTTCGAATTCCAGTCGAATCCATTACATTCATTACATTCACTTACGTGCTAATACCCTTGATGAATCATCATCTTCTCCTCAGCTATGGGTAAATAGCAGGACAGATGACATTTGGTGTCTACCGCAGAAAGAAATGGGGAAAAAATCTGCCTCGTCGGTCATGTATCAAAAGATATATGATCGCCTAAGTGTGTATCACGCATGATACAGAACTGATATACTGAGTGTAACAGCAAAATTGTCCAAATCGTGTAACAGCAAAGGATAATTCTCCATCGAACTAAATGTTTAATATCTAAAAAGCCACAAAACCAATTGAGCTACTTTTTTCATGTTTTCAGGTAAGACGTTGAGCCATCTTGATGCCATTTTCTTGACATCAGAATTACTGATAAGCCATTTGAGTTATTCAGCTAGAAAGAGAACAGGTTAAAGTCATTTTGTGTCAGACCCACTGTCTTTCCAAATGAGCAATGGTGAGGTAAAAAAGATCATTCAGACCTTTAATAATGGTACCGGCATTCATGCTCTGGCTTCCATCTTCAAAGTCTATTCAAGAACCATCAAGAGAATGGTGAATAAGATTAAAAAAGAGGGTACAGTAGAGAGGAAAATTGGATCAGGGTGTTACAACAGGAAAAGAGATACCCTGATTTCAACTTAAAGCTAAATATGTTCTTATTGCTCAAAGTAGAGTGCAATAGTGTTATAAAAAAAAAAACTCGGATAATTCCAGTGAGATATCTTTAATCATTTCTAAGATACAACGGTTCAATTCTTAATCTAATAGTTGGATAATTTTGGTGTTACACGATTTGGACAATATTGCTGTTACGCCCAGTATATGTATGGTACCCTATAAAATCTAATAAGGGTCTCAAGAGTAATTTTGGGGACCATAGACACTGAAATAGGGCGGAAAAAAAATAACCCGTGGGGTTAAGGTTAGATAAGGGATTATTTGCGTGATTTATTATTTTTCTCCTCTTTATTGTTATTAAATCAATAAAATAAGCTGTTCTCGTTGAGATGACCCTGTCTAGGGATACCCAATGAACAATCTATCCACCTAGATTAAACAACGGATTCAGTTTGAAATTCGTTGCTGGTTACACGGATCGACACGTACCCAATGAAGATCGAATCGAGACGTGATTATTAATAACTACAAAGATTATGTAAATAATGATATCTTCCCAGCTTAGAAATTCAGATAGAAATTAGGGCTTGTTTTAAATTTGCAGGAGACCAATTAGCGATTAACAGGTGCGATTTTATTGAATGTGAAGACGCTTTTGGGTGGGGGATGCTATCTAAGAAGGAAGTAATTCTAAAAAAATTGGGAACGAGTGTTGAAAAAGTTTCAATCTAGCCCGAAAAATTGGAAACCACTAGCCTCATATCAAAATACATATCCAATTACATATAAGCCCACTTACCTACTTATCAAGCTAATTACCTGTGTAGCGAATCGAACTCTGGTAGCGAGCCGAGATCAATTTCCGGCCTAGCCCGTTATGTCGCTAGTACCCTTGGGAAAAGCATGAATCCGTTTCTTTTCCTCCCTACTATGGGTTAAATATCAGGGAAGAAGACTGGGCGGCAGCTAGTCTAGGTGAAAATTTAAAAAAACCGTGGGGAAGGGGACAGAAATAACTTATCTTTGCCAAAGAAGTCATAATAAAACAAAATATATATATATATCTTTACGTTTTCAATATTACAATGAAAAGAATTTTCACATTAAAATTTAAATATTAAGATATTTAAATTTTTAAAACTGTTACATATTTGTTTAATACACATGAATCCAATCATGAATTTATTACAGAAAGATGGTTGTTTGAAAGAATGGTCCCAAGTGGAACTTCATTAGGCATGTGTTGATGTAAGAAATATATGCACTTTAGTCTTTTTACCAAAAATTTACCAAATTTAATGCTTCCAAGAGTATTCGCTGCAAATTGAAAGAAGAATGGTTCAGAGTGGACAGAAATAAAATAAATTTAAAAAAGAACTAAAATAAATAAAATATTCTTTTAAAGGAAGCTATTTAATTTTAAAAGTAAAATTTAAAATGAAATAATTTATTTATATTTTTGATTTCTGCCAATTTGTATACGAAAAAAAACTTGGGTCCATGTTTGAATATTATGGAAGCAAAATGTACGTCAGCAGATGTGTCATCCACTTGGGACCATTATTTCAAACTAGTTTCTGTAAAAATATAAAATACACATCAAAGTTTCAACGCTAATTTTTAGAAATTGTACGAGAAGAGAAATATTTGCTTATGTGTAGTATCATCTTTCATTTATTCCTCGAAAATGATGGAATTGGGTGGCTTTACTCAGTAATAGAGGATTAGCTACTTTTTTTACAACTGTAAATGGAATGGTTTCTTGTTTCGTCTTCTTTTTAAAACATCTATTTCCCAACAATAAAGATTCAAGATGGAATTTTTTATTACGAGTCACGGGTGTTTAACTCGTTAATCGAGAGTCTTGAATATTTCCATTTTCTTATTTAGATTCAGTCAACGGAGATGTTAACAAAAACACTAGACAAGTAGACAGAGAAGCAGCTAGATAGGTAGATAGGTAGAGAGATTTTAAGAGACTGGGAAGAGACTGGGATAGATAGATAGATAGATAGATAGATAGATAGATAGATAGGAACAGATACTGAGATAGATAGATAGATAGATAGATAGATAGATAGATAGATAGATAGATAGATAGATAGAAAAAAGAAAGAAAAAAAGAATGAAACAGATACTGAGATAGATAGATAGATAGATAGATAGATAGATAGATAGATAGAGATACTGAAATAGATATATCTATATATATAGATAGATACTGAGATAGACAGATAGCTAGGAAGAAAAAAGAAAGAGATACTGAGATAGATTGATAGATAGAAAGAAAGAAAGAGATACCGAGATAGATAGATAGATAGATAGATAGATAGATAGATAGAAGGAAAGAAAGAAAGTTTTTACCATATAAATTCAGTGTCCTGATTTTTCCAAGTCATTTACTGAATCATAATGGTAAAAAACTATAAGACATGAAGTCTGAAGAGTATTTTCTGTCATTGAATATCGATTCCTTGCAGGAGATCATCGATTGATGAAATTCCAAGAGTTCGTTGTTCATTTGCAAATTTCATGTGTATATGGGAAAACAATATATACATCTTTATTTTGACATTTTTATGTTTATACATTCTTTTTATAGACACAAGTAAATGCTTTGTTTATAATAAACAGTATTAATAACATTTACCGGCCTGAATGTCCGAGAAATTTTCATAGAAAATATTCGTGTATCCTATACAGAACCGTTATATAGTCTGACATGCCTTGACCGATTGAGCCACAGAGGATAGTTCGGTTAGCAAGGTCGAATTTACTGCCTTTAAACTTCAATCTCCCACGAATCTCTCACGTACATTCATATCTGCTCAAAACGTATCAAATGTAAACAAATGACGTCACACATTATGAAATGGACAAAGTCCGACAATTATTTTTTAAAGACATTTTTATGTTTATAAATACTTTTTATAGATACAAATATGTAAGTAAATGCTCTGTTTATAATAAACAGTATTAATAACATTTTCCGATCTGAATGTCCGAGAAATTTTCAGGCTGGTAAATGTAATTAATATTACCATGCCCCCACTGGTGGGGTATGCGCCCCACGTTAGGAATCATTAATTTAGCCAATTCCATTTAGTTTCTTTTACTTTTTATTCATATTTACGTCACTTTTGTAATTAAATATCCTGCAGCGTGATAATAGAATTTTCTGCCAAGAAAGGTGAAATGTAAGAACTTGGATACAAATTTACTGTGGATAATCTGATTACTTTCTTTACATTTTCCTCTTTGTAGATTGCTTTCTCCTTTAAGTCAAAATTCAGGGGACACTTATTACAGTGAGCAGAAATACCTTAGATGTGTTATTTTGTAAAAGATTCCTTCTGTGTTCATAGAATCTTTTAAATTTTTTAAGGTTTCTGCTATATATTTCTTCTGGCAATTATTACAGATGATAGTGTAAATTCATCCTTTACGTTTTTGCTTAATATTTTGTTTTGCATTAAGTAAGTCTTTTATTGTATTAGATGTATTTATAACACATTTTATGCAAAGCTTAGATACATTCTTTTTAATTGTAATTGTGATAGAACTGATGGGTTCAACAATATATTTTGATTCGTTGGGTTTATCAGGATGTCTATTTATCTATTTTGTTTCACGTTGAATATGAAATAAATATGATACTGAAAGAGCTTAAAAGTATTTTCAATGTATTTCTCTTCGTGTAACTATTGAGGGCTACAAATTCTGAATGTTCTTAAACAGAACAGATTAGTTGATTTGTAATAGACACTTAATTTTAGGCTATTGTCACTACGGTGTAACATGATATCTAGGAAAGGTAAATTTACTGTAGCATATATTTTACTATAGTAATAAATTGAAAATATTTACTATACCAATATATTTTAATATAGAAATGAATTGAAAATATTTACTATATGATATGTATTTTACTATAGAAATGAATTTAAAATATTTACTAAACCAATATATTTTAATATAGAAATGAATTGAAAATATTTACTATATGATATGTATTTTACTATAAAATGAATTTAAAATATTTGCTAAACCAATATATTTTAATATAGAAATGAATTTAAAATATTTACTATACGAATATATTTTAATATAGAAATGAATTGAAAATATTTACTATATGATATGTATTTTACTATAGAAATGAATTTCAAATATTTACTATAGCATATATTTTAATATAGAAATGTATTGAAAATATTTATTATAGGATATGTATTTTACTATAGGAACGAATTGAAAATATTTACTATAGTATATATATTTTACTATAGAAATGAATTGAAAATATTTACTATAGCATATATTTTGCTATAGAAATGAGTTGAAAATAAAAAGGATGGGGATTTTCAGAGGTCAGCCTTATCGACAGAATATGGCTATTATTTTTATTGCTAATGATTCGGTGAAAAATGAATTGGATATCAAGAAAAAATGTTTTGTTAGTGACCAGGAATTAATACAAGCATTATTGACTGAGTCGGGCTACTGAATGTATTATGTAATAATATATTAATAATGATTTTATTATAAAAATGCATTGCTAATCAGAGACTTGTTCTATTTTTTTCGTATAGGCTTTTAGATTTGATTCAGTGCATACAAAAACCTCGCTTGTGTTTGAATTAGTGCCATTTAAAAATTGGGGCACTTTTCTAAAAAATGTGGCTGATTTTGTAGATGGAAGAAAGTAAGCAACATTTTCATATGGATTATGTACACTCAATAATATCAACTATGAATACGGCCACAATGTGCTGACCGTTTTCGGAAAATAAAACATTCATATAACTCTAGATACATACATAAATAAATTCATATATTTAGTTAATATTAAAATAAAATTCATCCTGGCTTCATAATGGCTAAAAGTATAGCCGAAAGCGCATGGATATATAAAACATTTGGACAATTCATATATAATTTGTGTTCTGAAAAGAAAAAATATGATAAGAACTTATGAAAAAAATATGTAAAAAACTACAGCACCTTGTCAGTCGTTTTTGACGAAAGTTGTATATTTATATTGTATAAACATACTCTGGAGTCGGGATTTTGAAGGTAAGATCAATCAGCTAAGTGATAAATTTTACATTAATTTTTTTTTTCTCTCTCTCCCTATCTATCTATCTATCTATCTATCTATCTATCTATCTATCTATCTATCTATAATGATAGAGGAGTCCTTAGAAATCCATAGGTGATAATTTATTTCATGGGATCAGACGCCAATCTCTTCAGAGCAAAAATTTTATAACAGTCACCTATGGATTTCTAAGGACTCTGCTCTCATTAATATATTTGCTCTGTTCTTACATTGAGCTCTCTTTGGATTTATATCCTCCTCGGAATTATCCCAATTATCAAGTGATATGACACACACACACACACTCACACACACACACACACACACACATATATATATATATTGTGTATTTGGACAGCAAATAATATACAATATATTTTTATACAAGTTTCATTAAAGCCGACTATCAAGTACTGCATTTAAACTTTCAGACAGACCCCCCCCCCCCACGTCTCTTTAGACCAGTGGTTTTCAACCAGGGTTCCGCGGAACCCTAGCGTTCCGCCAGTAAAGCCCAGGGGTTCCGCAAGAAGTTACACAAGTACTATCATTGAACAGTAATTTTTAATTCTCCTGTGCAGATATCTGTTGAAGATGAACTTTGTGTGTATCTGTCAAAAACACGACCCAATATTAAAGATTTGTGCAAGAAACATCAGGCTCAAGTTTTTCATTGAATTTTTAATGAAAATAAACTTTAAACTGAAGTTTTTAAAACATGTGTAATAACCGTAGAAGCAAGATTAAAATTACATATGTACGTATACAATATTTTTACAGTTTGTCTTTGTATTTGTTTGTAAATAAATCTGAGGATGAGTATTTTTATTTTATTTTAATAATTGAAGCTGTTTTTGCATAAGACAATTTATTGCAGGGGTTCCTCCAGCCACTGGAATGTTTCCTTGCGGTTCCGCTCCAGCAAAAAGGTTGAAAACCACTGCTTTAGACCAAACAATTTTACAACACTGTTTGATCTCGTGAAATACATTATTATAACACTGTTTGATCATGTGAAATAAATTATTACCATGGATTTCTAAAGTTTCCACTTTCATCATTATTATATTTGTTCTGTTATTACATTGAGCTCTCTTTGAATTTATATCCTCTTTGGAATTATCCCTACTAATTATCAATGATATCATATATATATATATATATATATATATAATTAATACAAATATAAAATTTATCCCTTAGCTAATTGATGTTATTTTCAACATCGCTATTCTAGAATTTCGTACACGGACGCTCAATCAATTGCTTCGACTAATCATCATTTTTGTTGCCATATTTATCACAACGTTTCGGCCGTTGTACGCTCCGGCCTTCTTCAGGTGGTTGGAATGTCAAACCGAACCCTTTATTCCGCTCGCTGGGGTAGACTGTTCTAGTTCCACGTGCCATGTCCGATGGATGCCAGTTATCAGCTATTTCCTGTTAATTCCCCTCTCCAAGTTCTCAAGGATACATGGCACAGTGGATAAAGGCGTTAGTTAGATCCAGTGACAGGACCGAAAGAGAGTGTGAATTCAATACCTGGTTAAGGCGGCCGAGAACTTGGGGAGAGGAATTAACAAGAGATAACTGGTAACTGACATTCATTAGATATGGCACGTGGAACTAGAACAGTCTACCCCAGCGAGCGAAATAAATAAATAAAGGGTTCAGTTCGATATTCCAACTACCTGAAGAAGGCCGGAGCGTACAACGGCCGAAACGTTAGGATAAATATGGCCACAAAGATGAAGATGATAGTCCGACCAATGTAAATAGTGTACATAATGCCACATCTCAGAAATATAGACAGAGATATGTATATATTAGTTAAGAGATAAGTATATATTAATGTGAACATAGTATCGAACACTGCATGGTGATCAGAAGTTTCACCGTTGAAGCGAATACCAGAACATGTGTCTGATGATTGTCTAATACGTGAAACTGTCAGTCAGTTGTGCTGACATTTCTGTGTATACGCTCTTTTTATTTACAAATTACAAATGCCGTTTCCAGTGTCGAACATAATATTCTCCCGAAAATGTAGATAATTTTAGACAATATTTGTGCGTATGTGGGGGGTGCGCATACACGTTTGTGTGTATATGTATTTATACATTCGTGACTCTCTTATCGTTTTTCGACGTATGTGGGTCCAGTATCTTAGCTATTAGAATTGAACAGTTAAATTATATACACACATATGATTTGATTCTAATAGTAAAGGCCTGTTCAAAACAAAACTAACTTTTTGAAAGAACTGATTCACACACATATATAATTAAATTAAGTTCAACAATCATTTAATATATTTTCTGTTTATACGTTATTTTAATAGATACAATTTATTTAAGTAAATGCACTGTTTTTTTTTTAAACAGTATTAATTACATTTACCAGCTTGAATATTCTAGAATTACGTAGAAAATATACGTTCTCCGTCAGGAATCGAACCTGTGCCCTACACAGAACCGTCAATTGATCTAACGTGCTATACCACTCATCTACAGAGAAGCGCCTGGTTAACAAAGTCCATATTATTGTTTTTATACAACAAAGCTTCGACGATATTTCCTGTTTATAAACAGTAACTTGGAATTTGATAACCAGGCGCTTCTCTGTAAGTGAGTCGTATATCACGTCAAACCAATTGACGGTTCCGTATAAGACACAGGTTCGAGAACACATTATTTTCTACGAAATTTCTAGAAAATTTAGGCCGGTAAATGTAGTTAATACTGTTTATTTAAGAAATAGAGCATTTACTTAAATAAATTGTATCTAATAAAATAACGTATAAACTATATTTACATATATATATATATATATAAACCTAGTGAGCCAGACAAACCTACCCAGGTTTAACCGAAGCGGATCGTCAGGGAAAACTGGGTAGGTTTGTCTGGCTCACTAGGTTTATATCTATCTATCTATCTATCTATCTATCTATCTATCTATCTATCTATATATATATATATATATATATATATATATATGTTCCACTACAACAATAACATATCTCGCGTGATATATATATATATATATATATATATATATATATATATATATATATATATATATATAAGTAGAGCCAGACAAACCTACCCAGAGCCAGCTTTCCCTGACGATCCACTCAGGTGAAACGTGGGTAGGTTTGTCTGGCTCACTAGTTTTATCTAGGTCTGCTCTACGGTTGTATTAAGCTTTTTTTGTTAGTTGTTTACTCGTGTCGGTTTTTTTTTTTGGGCTTTAAACCTGTATTTGTGCGATTTTTTTCGACAGACTTTCATGTTTCTAGCTCTTTCTTTTTTTAAAACCTTTTTTTCCTTCGAGATTGATTTGATTATTGGCAAATTAAAAATTCGAAGGTTTTTCGAAACTAGTATAGTTACCTATATATATATATATATATATATATATATATATATTGATGTATGTTTCATTAAATAATATAGACTAGTTTTGTCTATTTTTTATGTAAATTCTTTTCATATATATATATATATATATATATATATATATATATATATATATATATATATATATATATATATATATATATATATATATATATGGGCACCTCGACGTGATGTAATGGTTAGAAAGCTTGTCTTGCTAGACCAATTACGACTAAGTAGTGAGTTCAAACCTCACTGGGTGCTCCATACTTTCGGCCTTGTGCCACATCTAAGTCGGGCTTAGAAAATTGTTCTATATATAACGATATTCTATGTTTTTCGGTAAATGGACGTTTGCACCAGTTGAGCAACGATTTAGAATTTCAGTATATACATTCATGCGCACGTGTGTATGTATATATATATATATATATATATATATGTGTGTGTGTGTGTGTGTCACAAATTCTTTAAGATATTTTGAGTCTGAATTTAAAGCAGAATAAGTTAATATTCAGATAAGTAATCAGGTGAGTCTTTCCGTTTCAAGTCCGCCCGGTCCTGCTGATGCAGGGGAGACAACTATGAATCAAGCAATCAATCCAGTTAAGTTGATAGCTGTCATATTCGGCGAGCTGATAAGAACAAATATTAACAGTTCGAGTTGATCCCGCCTTTTGTTTTCATTTTGCAAGAATTGGGGCCTGTAACTAAAAATGTATTATTTGACCCATTTTCTAATGCCCCTGGTCTGAAAATCTATCTATCTATCTATCTATCTATCTATCTATCTATCTATCTATCTATCTATCTATCTATTCGTCTGTCTCATTCTCTTCATATGTATTTATCTCAGTCTGTTCATATCTATCTATCTATCTATCTATCTATCTATCTATCTATCTATCTATCTATCTATCTATCTCAGTCTGGTTCTATTTATCCATCTTATATCTATATTTGTCTATCAGTCTGTTCATAGCTATCTATGAATAAAAACCAAAGGAAAACCTATCTTAGTCGACGCGTTTCGTTCTCTGATGGACTTTATCAAGGGAAATGTAAGGATTTTATTTTGCAATAAGTAGTTATAAACAAAAATAAAAAAAATGTTGTCAGTCTTTCGAAATTTTTAAATTTAAGCGGCGCTTATAAATATTCATCAACTGCAAAGTCGCGGTAAATTATGGAAGATGCTAAGTGCAATAAATGAAAGCGAGTAAATGTTGAATATTCTTTTATTTTATGCAATTAATATTTAAATTATTTTAGTTTGGCATTAATTTATGTGTATTCTAAATAACATGATGTTATAAATTTAACCATTTTCTTTTAATTTTTTTTTTAACCTTTTTATAGTCATCTATATTGACTTGGGAAAAGTAATTCTCTGAGAAATAAAAATATTTGAATAAATCCGGGGCGCAGATTTATATTTTGATAAGATGGCGCTCTCGAGAATTTTCCGTCTAAGTAAATTACTTCCTCTTTTAATAAGTGTGGTATCTTTAGATTGAAGTTCTGGTTGAATTCATTTCTATGTATGCATTTGATAAATTGTTGCGTGGGAAATCCTTTTTGCGTTCATAAATACTTTTTTTAGTTTCGCCAATGCATTGAGAAGACCATTTGTGACAGTTTATTTTATATATATATATTTATATATATATATATATATATATATATATATATACCTGTCTCAGAATTATTATTGATGCTAATATGACAACTATCACAATTCAGTTATTGGGTATCTTTGGTTCTAATCAGATCCATAATAGTTTTTGTTGTGTTTGCAATTATTTTGATATTGTTAAGATTGGATAAATTGTTTTACATTGTATATGTTAGAGAGTTAGTAGGTAGTATTATATGTTTTTTCATCTAATTTGTTTTCATCGTTAATGTTGTTAATACTGTTATTACCTTTTTAGCAGTTGTATATTTTGTATGCCTTTCTCTTAGGACTGTGAATGAAATAATGAGAATATTGGTGGTTTTCGAAAGTGTTTTGTATGTATATTTCTTCCTCAGGTAATTTTTGGCGGCTGCAGATTTTTAGTGCTCTTAAATAGAATCCTATAATTATTCCAGATTTTATCCTATTACAGTGGTGAGAATAAAAATTGATAAGGTCATTCTTGTTTGTAGATTTTCTGTAAACCAATTAATTCTATGTAGCATGATATCTAGGAAAGATTCAAAGGTAAAATTTATTGTGGGTTCTACGTTTTGTTGACAAGGTCAGGTAAAACTATGTTTTGTGGATATATTAATAGAGATTCATGTATGTATCTAAAATAAGAAAAATTTGGGGTAGAATATTTTTAAAAGGACAACTTTCCAGAAATTCCAAAAATAGACGAGTCAAAACGTCAATAATGGAGATCTCATTAATAAACTTTTTTTTTCTATTTGGTCAGTAAGGAATTTTTCAGTTACAGTACGTGGTAATGTTACCATAGACTTTTGATAACGTTAGAGATGGACGGTCAGTTTAGGATCAAGGAACTAGTTTATTTTAACGTTACAATAACGTCGGGGTCTGCAACATTGCAAGAACTGGGTTAACGCTGAGAAATACCATGACTTACTCAACACTGTACACCGATGATCTACCAAGCAATTACCTAGTGTAGTAGGTTTACTATTCACTGAGTGCCCCACGACTATTGTCTCGTACAAGACTAGGAGAAACTGAATAATTAATTCTGTCACTTTCTTTAGAGAGTTCGTCACGCAAAAAATCCCTGGAGGGTGGGAGGCGCTCCGAAGTAAAGAAAAGCAGGAAAAAGCATGGGATAAACTACTTGAAATGTTTAAGTCAATTGATGGCAGAACAAGTAGCACAAAGCGGAATCGTGAAGAAAGAATAATTACTTAGATCAGCAAGAGATAGGAAGTTGTGGAGAACCATGATCATTCAACACTTTAAAGACAGAGACAGAGAAATGGAGAAGTGAGTTCGTTCTCCCTTTGAGTATTCCATTTTGGAAGCTCTGTGCCAGACTAGACTGCCTTATTGTCGATTTCGCATGTGGTTTCTCATGTGACTGCTGGGGAGCAAGCTCGTTTTGAATCTAGTGGTATGAGTTCAAGCGTCATCGTTCTCCCCCGAATTGTTCCCTAATACTAAACCAAGCTAAGTAACAAATTACTAAGTGAAAATTACGCACATATTGATTCTCTATTTTGTTGAAGTGAATCGTATCTTTTCAGGATTGGAATATTGACTTCCTTCCTCCACCGACATTATTTCATACATTGTGTTATATTGCTGCGTGTGAGCTTTGTGAGACATCCGATAATGCTCCTCCAGTGATTATCAACCGTCCACGTTATTAGAAGAAGTTGTAAAAGGACCACATGCTTTTGCTTTTATACAAACGATTTGTAGATATTACTTTAACGATATTTTTTAATCATTTAGCCCCAAGCAAGGCAACAAAGCTACTACGACGCAGGAGGTTACTAAGTGTCCCAGGCGCAGCTTCATACCATTCAACCGTGCTTCTGTTTTGGTTGGTTTACTCATAATTCATAGCAGTGAAATGCGTAATTATTTTCCGAACAACCTATTTTTTTTTTATAATTTCATTACAATCGAAATTGATGAAATACGTAATTGCTTTCCGAACACCGTAATATTTTTTTTTATTATTTCCTAAAATAATCAATCGAAATTGGTGAAATACGTAATTACTTTCCGAACAACATAATAATTTTTTATTATTTCTTAACATAATCGAAATTGGTGAAATATGTAATTACTTTCCGAACACCCTAATATTTTTTTATTATTTCCTAACATAATCAATCGAAATTGGTGAAATATGTAATTACTTTCCGAACACCGTAATATTTTTTTTATTATTTCCTAACATAATCAATCGTAATTGGTGAAATATGTAATTACTTTCCGAACACCCTAATATTTTTTTATTATTTCCCTAACATAATCAATCGTAATTGGTGAAATATGTAATTACTTTCCGAACACCCTAATATTTTTTTTATTATTTCCTAAAATAATCAATCGAAATTGGTGAAATATGTAATTACTTTCCGAACACCCTAATATTTTTTTTATTATTTCCTAACATAATCAATCGTAATTGGTGAAATATGTAATTACTTTCCGAACACCCTAATATTTTTTTTATTATTTCCTAACAAAATCAATCGAAATTGGTGAAATATGTAATTACTTTCCGAACACCTAATATTTTTTATTATTTCCTAAAATAATCAATCGAAATTGGTGAAATATGTAATTACTTTCCGAACACACTATTATTTTTTATTATTTCCTAACATAATCAATCGTAATTGGTGAAATATGTAATTACTTTCCGAACACCCTAATATTTTTTTTATTATTTCCTAACATAATCAATCGAAATTGGTGAAATATGTAATTACTTTCCGAACACCCTAATATTTTTTTTATTATTTCCTAACATAATCAATCGAAATTGGTGAAATATGTAATTACTTTCCGAACACCCTAATATTTTTTTTATTATTTCCTAACATAATCAATCGAAATTGTTTTGATTAATCATGAGATAGGTAGGGAGTTTTCACTTTAGGCGTTTTCAGGTGTATGTCTTTCTTGTAATTAAACTAGTAGCAAGCAATTTGAAGCAGAGGGTCAACAAACCACGTTTATATCCAATGCTATCTTCTCCCTTTATAAAAGCTCGATCCGGCACAAAATGGAGTACTTGTTGCCTTATTTGGGCTGGAGCTGCACCGTCTTCACTTTCCAGTCTTGATAGAGTTAAAAAGCGTCTCTGAGTTCTTATTAGAGAAGAATTATTTGCCACTCACCAACCTCTCTCTCTCACAAGCGGGATGTGGCGAGTATCTCACTGCACTATCGCTACTAACATGGAAAGTGATCGAACGAACTAAATTTCTTAGTTTCTCCAGGTCTAACCCTCACGGCTAGGACCCGCCATGACACTTACATAGCAGCAAACCACCCACATTCACTCTGTATTCCATTGATGAGAAGTTCCACTCAGTTTCTTCCCGCGAACCACTGTCCTGTGGAACAGTCTCAAAAGCGGATTTTTCCCCGATTATTTCAACCATCACCTGTTCAAGTCTAGAGTTAACCATTATCTTCCCTTCCTATCCATATAAACTACCATTTAACGTAAGCCTCTACTTTGAGTGTCCTGTACAGAGTGAACCTTATTGAAAAGAAAGCTACTGTTTAGTGACTTAGACAGAAGCAGTGACTGAATCCTTCTTTACAGTCGCTAAAAATGACAATTTGTGGCGTTTGATTTCAAGCGCCAACTGTCCGTTCGCTTTTTTTTTTTAAGCGTTTCACCCCAAGCAAGGCGGAAAGCCACTAGGATGCAAGGGGTTACAGAAAATTTGGAGCAAGGTCAGATAGGAGTGATAGAAGAAAGGATGAGGAGAAGAGTAGTGGATAGATCAACGCAACTGGAGATACAGAGGCCTGTGTGTATGTGTGTGTGTGTGTGTGAGAGAGAGAGAGAGAGATAGGGAGAGAGAGAGAGACGGAAGCCCCTTCCTAAACAAGAAACAAGGCGTAAGCCTCTACTCATGTCCAAGAGAAGGGGGAGGAGTGTGGACCGGGCGGTAGGAAAGCCTACCTACTCCTATTACATATAACACATACAACAACAAAAACAGAGGTAACGATGAGAGGGGGAGGTCATTTGCAAAAAGTCCTGGCTGACACTTGCATTTACCCTTTCGCAACATTAAGTTTTAAGTTTTAACTTAGTATAAGTTCCATTGTCTATTCTAAAAAGAAATTGAAAATAAGGTTATCCGGATTTATTGCCATGTCATAATAAATACCCCAACATACGTGGCAGCGAGTGTTAGTCCGCTTTCTTCCTCATGATAACAAGTGAATGTACAGCTTACCTTAAGTCCAAGCA